CATGCTTTTGAAGTGCATAAATACGATGGTCACATAAATGATGAATTCGACAATAATAGCGAGACACAGCGAGCTTACTATGAAGAACTTGCTGCATTTCTCAAAAAACGTCTCGGCGCCTCTCGAGTGGTCGTCTTCAATCATGTATTTCGGTACCGAGGTCCAACACGCCCAATCGATAAGTGTGATCCGAATCACAAGCATCCTGCTGTCCATCCACACGTGGATTTTGATGGCCCTGGTGTTCGCTTGAAAATGAAAGAAGTCCTTGGAGAAGAAGAAGCGGAAAAACTGATGCAGAATCGATTTCAACTGATCAATATCTGGAAGCCGATCGGACCAAATGCTATCACAAAGAATTCTTTGACTCTTTGCGACTATCGTTCATTAGATGTCGAAAAAGATATTCATCTGTCAGAGGTTCGAGGATCCCAAATTACCCTTTCGCTTTATTTAATCTCGCACAATGCTCAAGATGCTCAAAAATGGCACTATTTGAGTGAAATGCGATCCGACGAAATGTTTGTCTTCAAAATCTTCGACAGCAACCCTAATGTTGCCCAGTTTTGTGCTCACACAGGATTTATCAATGAACACGTACCTGAAACTGATGTCCAACAGATTAGCATTGAAGCACGCTGTTTTGTTTTTTATGATTAATAAAAAATAAATAATTTATTTCTGCATGCCGGATGTGGATGTTGTTTATTTACCCCACATCCCACACTCACACTAACACCCACATCCATATCACACTTACACGCTTATAATTTTATCTGTACACATCAAAATTATATATCTATACTTTTGGAGTTTGAAACAGATACCAGCTTAATGAGTACAGAATTATTCATTTATATAAATGAAATTACGTACATACCAGTAGAAGTAAAAAGTTCAGCTGTGATGTGTAAAGCATGACTTTCGTGTTGTTTCTATCGGTCATGAGCAAAGTAATTTATACTTTTGTTGGGCTTATCATTCTGAGCATGAGCATTCAATTTCTTTTATAATAATAAGTCCAACAGAATCGTATGACATATTCAGGAAACCGAGGACACAAGAGATTATCAAGAAACGAAAGTGAAGAAGAAAATTATATCTTCTGGAGAGATAAGTTTGGAGATATTGCATTCCCTGCGGATAATGTATTGTATGAAATAATTCTAAGTTGAAAGTTAAGAAAAGAAAACGTTTCATTCTTAGTCTAGTGTGAATGAGAAGCACGAAAATAGTGTACTCCAATTAATCTCTAAAACACATGAGGTCATCTCCTATTCTCATCTTCGATTTCTTCTATATAAAACAATACTATAATGAATAAAAAGATATCAATGAAATAGTGAATAACAAGCATTAAGGATCACCAATGTTGTCATTTATATGAACTTAAGAATAATAATTAATTGTAGTATTCTGCAATCGATTGAAGAAAAATTTATGAATATTTTTAAAGGTGACATAATATTTGTTTGATGCCGGATGTTTTCTTCAACATAAATACAAACATGTTACACAATTTTCAGCTTGCTTGAGGAATATCATCAAAAATTTCAAGTGAAAGAGCAAATAACGTCGAAACTTCTAAATAATTGATAATAAATTTTTTTTAAATTTGTTTTTCATAATAAAACCTAAGTGAGCTGAAACATTCAGCGAATTTTGAAAAGTGCTTTTAAAGAAACTGATCAATATTTAGTACTACTTCTGACAGTTGCTTATTATCTAAGTTGTGAAGAAATGCAAATGCTTGACAAGAAAGTTAATCATTATCACGTTTTCATTTGTTGTGAAAAAAAAGTTCCTTTTAGTAATCGTGTGCGTTTTCACGTACGAAATATTTTTGAGAAATTATCAAAATTTCAAATTAACCTTGTATTTTTAACAATTTTTTCTGTCCTTAAGATTTTTAGTTGAGTCCATTCTCTTTGAATTCAAAACGTCTCATCAAGTTTTCAATTGTAAAGATTTTTCATAGAAAAGAAACTGGATCGACAACTATGTGCTGCATTTATGTTTGTAAACCGTGTTTTTTATACTTCTAGAAGCTGTATTTTTAAATAGAGAAAATCATTTTGCAACGGACAGAAAAATTGTACTTTTTTTGTCGACATAGTACCAAACAATGAAACTGTTCAAATGTTATGTTCATTTCTGTAATTTTTTTTTTCTATCTAAAATATATGAATTTAAAAATTATTGATCTCTCTTTTGACATATTCTATTTCATTACCAAGATAACACTCATTGAAGTGTTGAAAGAGAAAAATACATTCTTAATTGCTCAGTCACTTCAAATCTGGTATAGAAATGTAGATGGTTTATTTTTTTACAATTGGTTTGTGTTGCTCCTCTTGTGACTTGGCGCGTCACTCTTTGCAGAGGTTCATATTCTACCTTAAGTGTAATATTTTTTGCCGAACACGATTTAGTATCACTAGGATATTGTTCAACATAATCATCATGAACATTGACAAGATCTAATTCAGCAAGGTGAAAATATTTAATGATCGAGTACTCTAAACTGCTTTCATCCTTTGATTCGGGAAATTGTTTGTGTTGTTGTGGTTACTGCTTACTTAAAGACAATTTTTTTCAGAGGTGGAATGCATGAGTTGTTCGAATGGACAACTTATGTTCAAAATGACGTTCATCAAATAGTGATATTTGACGAAAGCATTTGAATAATCCATCGGTAAAACTATTTGTAATATTTTGTTGTGTCTGAAAGCGTAAAAATTTGACATTGGTTAGTATTGTTCTTTGGAAAATAATCAACACAAGAAATAATTTGAATCTATTTGAAACTTGTGAATGTATTTTCAATGTCTACCTTTGAAGGCAAATAAATCTGATTGAGAAGAATTTCTGAATGAATATTAAATGCAAATTTCGTTAATCATGGTAAATACAGTGCATGCCAATTCATTTTCCCCTCTTCTCTTTTTTATCATTAGGATGCAGTTGTTTTTTAACCTCCTGTATATACGACGAAAGCCCAAGACGTGCTGCCTTTTATGATATATGAACTTTGAGCAACAAATATAGCTTGCAGTATGAAAAGTGTCACTTTTTTAATTAGAATTTATATTCACATCTATTATCCATATCACAACAAAAGAAGAGTAAGTATTTTTGAAGTAACTTTTAACAGAAATAAAATAGAGCTCTGCGATTTTCACCATACGAAAGAAGAGATAAATCTGCATCGAATGTCTTCTTGCACATATTCATGACAAACTTTATCAGAGTGGTGAGTGGTGTTTTCTGGAAAATATGACTTTTTCCAAAAACGTAGCTCAATAACTGTGGCAAAGTTTGTCACGAAGATGCAAAAGAAGAGATTTAATGCAGATTTATTCCTTCTTTCGAATGGTGAAAATTGCATATCTCCATCTTGTTTTTGTCAAAACTTATTTGAAAAACACTTACTTTTCTTTTGTTGTGATATGAATAATAAACGTGGATGAAAATGGTAACAAAAAATTGACCTTTTTTCTTTTGATACAATTTTCATACTTCAAACTGCATTTGTTATTCGAGGTTAATATATCATAAAGTGAAGCGCGTTTGGAACTTTCCCCTATGTATAGGATATTGAAAAACAAAAAGAAGCCTAGCGATAAGAACGATAAAAAAAGAAGGGAGAAAAATCAATTGGCGAGCACTGTAATCGATAATTTTTTTCTTCAGGGAAAAAACACCTTCATGATAATTATTTTTAAAATAAAAACATGCAAAAACTCGAAAGAATCTATATCGGATCGAATCGGTCGTTTACCATTACCGGTTGTAACACGGATCCACAGCAACATCCTCATTCACTCCAAAATAATCAAAGACAAAAGTTTGTTTCAAACAACGCAATCCGAAGAGCAAGTAAAGATGTTTTCGATAAACTTGGTATCTAAATCTGTTCAGTGTACAATGTTCATCTACTTTGCCAACACTAGATAAATCATAATGATCGATGCCACAAGCATTATATCAATCACTAATATCGCATATGGAAGCACATTTTTGAGGATTCAGACGCGTTCATTTTTCACTTTTGAATTTGTCTAGGAGGCTCTGAAAGCAATATGTGGTTTTTGATTAATCGAACTTAAAGATAGATCGGTATTTGTCAAAAATAAAATTCTACTTTTGTTTTCTTCTCGAGTGACTACTAAGAATTGTTCATTAGCTTGAACAAATTTGCCTATAATATTATTGTAAAATTCGACGGTGAATTCAGACATTTTTACAGTACAAATGATTCACTTGACATCAGCACTTAGTAGTTACGCTAGGATTCGCTGCACCTCAACTTTATGGGTAGTAACCAGATCAGAAACTCTCTCATCGAAAATGAGAATTCGTATCAAATTTTTCTTGTCACTAATCAACTGTGGTTTCTTTTTACTTTGATCTGTTCTTGACTTTATATTTCAATATGAAATCAAAGTGATTTCATTGATGTCTCTACATAGTGATATCAATTCGATTGCTGAATGCAACATCAACTCACATTGTCAAACCGAATTTTTTTTATGCTAGAGAAATACATAAGTGAGAGAAAATACAGCAGCACCATATGAATTTTCGACAGGATGCACTGTTTCACAACGAATATTTCTGAGAGAAACCTTTGATCTGGGGTCAAACTGAAAAAGTAGTTCTATTCTCAGATGACTCCTCATAGTACTGAATCAATTTGGCAAAAGGAATCAAGTTTATATGATAAAAAAAAATATGTTGAAATTTTTTTCTGCTACAGTAAAAATAGTTCACAAGATGATAATAGATTCAAAGATCATAAAACTTGTTTAAATTACCAATATGTTAAAGTACTTACATAGTTGCTGAGTATATTAGACAAATCATGTAGCTTGCTATTCAGTGATACAATGCCAAGTATAATCATAAAAAGAAATGTTCTTATTCGTAAACTCTTATCAAAATCAGAATTCTTAAAATTTCTATTGTTTTTTATTATGAGGCAGAAGTTTTAATGAAATTCACACGCGGCTCATATCCCATGGATTCAGTTTTTTTTTGATTATTACTTGAAAATGAGGTCGTCGTTGAAACCAATATTCTGCATGATCAAACGGTGATTGAACATTGTGACGATAATGTTGATGACTCAAAAATATGCTCAATCGAAGTCGTAAGTATTGAAGATTAGGTAAATATTGTTCGATCAATGTTTGCCAAGCTCTTGGCTCGAGTATCATCTTTGTATCTTCTCGTGCTTTTAACTTGAGTATTAAATGTGTCAAATGTGGACATAAAACAAAGAAATAATGGAATAGTTCGAAGGAACGCATATATTGTAAACTCAAATTTAGATGTTTTAGTTTGGGCAGAACAATATTGAATGTATACAGGTGTTTACCCCAATCAAAACCATATAAATGTGCTTTTAGACGACCAAGATTAGGTGTATGACGCAAAAATATTAGCATTTGATCAGTTGATATGTATTCAAGAGTAAGATACTCGACAGTGGGTAAATCGAACGAAAGCCGATTGATATTCCATCGATTGAATTGATAGGGAACGTGTAAAAAGCGAAGACGATTACGACCGGCTCCTAAAATTATCGACCAAGCTTGTTCATACATATCGATCGTATAGTCACGCGAGTCCATTTTTGTAATTTTGATCGATTCAAGCTGTTGCATTGGCAACCATTTAATGAATGCAACCAATTTTTGAAGTCTTATTGATTGAAAAGTAACAGCCCGAATGGTAGAAAAGTTCAAATATGAAATTAAATCGTTCTGTGGGTTTTCATCATTACTAGATATTTTTAATGATCGACATTTGAATGCATCATCGTGAAATATATTTTGGTTTATTGTCATCGATATATCAATGTATGCTGGATAATTTCGAATGATGTTATTCAAGCTATGTTTTAGCCCAAAAAAAGCTTGGAATAGTTCAGTGAATGATAAATAATCGAATATTTCCAGAAGCAAATCATTGCTCAAGTCGTCAAAACACGTCGTCGTCATATGACACGACTCTTTTTTGCTAATGATCAGGTGCAGTCAGCAGAGAACTCAACGAGAAGGAAAAAACAGAGAAAGGAGAAAAAACACGTCTTCTTTGACGAGTTTTTATTACACGTGTTGACAGAAGTAGACTCGAAAAGTGTCAATGATTCATCACTGACTTGAGTCTGACATGAAATAGGTTTTTTCAAATAAATCAGGTGTATTGTAAGTGAAGCCATTCGAATGCTCTGAAAAGTGTAGAAATATCAAGCGAAAGTCAGCCATTGGGAAAGAGAATAGTTTGAACTTATACGGTATTTCCATGTACCACACGTTTATCTGAATGAAAATATAGCATGAAGTCAGACTATATTCAACACGTATACACTTTTTTTGTATGAGCTTTTCTCGAGAAGCGCTTTATGTCAAGAATGGTGAGTAAAGAGAGAGAAAGCTATCTATCAAAATTAGCTGAAGCAAATAAGTTGTAACCATCTTGGTCATTCCTTGTCGAGATCTTCGAGACTTGATTGTGCATGTTTTAAAATTTTTCTACTTCTATAAATATATTTTTATCAATTGATTAAGATGGCCAGGGAGAATATATAGATAATATCACTGAATGATGGACATAACTTGAAAAGTGTTTCTATCGCAAAAATTCAAATTCTATTGTATTTAACTGTCTTTTTTTGCTGTTGTCTTGAGAATGATTGTTCTTATTTTAAAAATCATCAATATCTCAATGCAATATTCATGCTTTCAGAACACATCAGAGGCACGTGATGGACATTCAATTCGATTGTAATGATTTTCTCTGCATTCGTGAGAAACACTAACGAATAGACTTACATCATCAGAATAAAATTTGGTAAACTATACTATAAATAGATTATCGTTCAGAATCTCAAGCCCATTCTTGTTACCAATCGAAATCAATGCACCAGAAGCTTCGATAATCAATAAGATAAAAAGAAGTAATCGATATTGAACACTCTTACAGTTATCTTCAATTTCAACCACTTTATTAATACAATTTTGTGCAAGAAATAAACTTACAGAGATCCATAGTTACTCAACATGTATATACAATGTTTTATCTTCGATTTTGACAACCACTTCATCTTCATCACTTTTACTTAAACCAAATGATTGATGCCATTTGTTCATGACATAGTTGCAGAAAACTGGATCATCTAATAGAGCAACATGTCTAAATTGTATGAGAATAACACATCATTTTTCATGAAAAATGTTAAACGAATCTCGACACATATTTCGAAGAAAAGTGTATCATCTGTTAATATGTGAATTCTGTTCAGTTGATTAAAAGAAATAATTCATGCAGAATTGTAAAATATTTTGGATGAGAAAGGTAGTGAACTGTTGATAACAAGTGATGTAGCATTTGCACATGCCCTGAAAAAGAGAAAATTAAGGTCCATTAATATCGAATATTAGACATACTCTATGTTTTTATCGAAAATTCGTCACAATAATTTTTCTTTTTAATGGATCAGTACAAGTCGTTCTGATGAGTTTAAAATTAAAAAGACTAGAGTATATTATTGAGAGATGGATCATATTTAGATGAACAGTTTTTATTTCGACACATTGAATTTACTATGAACGTTATCAAAGCCAGAAAACTCAGTTTATAACGTTTGGACCACATTATATTGATCAGTTAATAGTAATCTGATTGACTTCTTATTAAAGATATATTCTATTAAGATAAAATTTTATTTATTTTATTTTTAAAGATTAAATCGTATTTAAATTTTAATAAACATCATATTTGCTTACTATAAGATTTTCTGAATGATAATTTTGACAAAACACTGATAGACAATTTAAAACAATGAGTAGTGTAATATAGTTCTGATTAAACCTACGTCTCATACGAATAATATTCTAATGAAAAATGGGCTGTTATCGAGTACCTCTTGCTGAGTCCTATCATCATTTTGAATGCGTCGCTTTGTATTTTCAGTTGAGAATAAAAATTGAACAATTTTCGACTACGTGAGGACAAAAATCTGATTTTCTTAGACTAATCGGTTTGATGTAATCGGATGATTTATTTCAATCGTTTGATAACAAAGAAGCTTTTTATGCATATAAGTACATTAATAATGAAATGAACTATTAGTTCGTGTGCAAATAACTCGAGCATGGACCACTGTAGACATGAAACTGTGGGTCTGCATTTGAATGTTCTTTTGTATGTGTGTGGTTTGGATGGTGGGTGTGATCTAATCATCATCCACACCCACATCGAAAATAGAGTTTTACAGATGAACTTTCCATAGTTGTTTAGCTCTCCCATTATTCAGTTAGATGAAAAAATCATTTTTGAAACAAATATAACAATTCTGCGCAGTCCTGAAGAATTCTCTATCAAATGAACCGATCATCAAATTATAAAATTTTGATTCTTTTTTTTTCTCACAAACTTCGAAAAAAAAAGAACGAAAACGCATCAATCAAATTATTCGTAAATATGAAGTAATTTGTAGAATGCTGCATACAAATCCACATGGTGAATTCAACATATAATCTTCTCTAATATTTTTTTTTGTTAGTGTTCATTCTGCATTTGATGATTGATCCGTAAATCAAACTTGATCATTTATTTGTATGGAGTCACAAATGTTTCAAATCATGGTAATGTGATGACCATGCTATTTTGACTCTTGCAATAGGTTTTGATGAAGGAATATTTCTTTTGCTAGTGCGTTGATATGTCATTCAATTGCAACGTCAGTGTAGATAAGTCTGCGCGTAGTAGACGCACATGTGAGTATTCATATCCACAACGGCATCAAATCACACACCCGCACTCGAATTGACTACAATCGAATGTATACTCAATCACAGACAAAGAGATTTAATTGGCAAGACTTTACCTTAATCCGCCAGAATCGATAGACACTGAAAAACGTCTTGAGATTGCATTGGACGAAATCTGTTTTTTTTTGTGATCAAACTGATCAATCGAAAGAAATAAGGAGATTCTGGCCTGGGAGTCGAACCATTTGTTCAACATTCATTCGAGCGACAATAAAGTGCACTTACGTTAGCCTAAGTAGACTGATCAGAACGGGAAGTCTTTTTGAACAATAGTTCTTATTCTGTATCATAGATAAACGTGAACTACACTCTCTCATCGATGAATTCGAACTTTGAACAAATTCTTTTTCGAAAATGAACAACATCAACAACAAACTTTTTATTCATTTGAAGAATTTCAACCAACTTCTTGACCTTGTGTCAAAATACCGAAAGTAAACGTGCCCTATGATCATCTAATAATATCTTCTGAATTTTCAGCCTATCTGAGAAAAATTGAAAAAAATAGCTATAACTTAAAAGACGGGATAAGCATATGTAACATCTTCTTCAATCTTAATTGGTTGAAAAGACAAAGAACATTGACTCATTTAGTTAGAATGAAATATCGATTGAATTCTTGCAAAAGATGAAAGTGAAGAGTCTTGAGCAAGTAATTTTTTCTGCATTTCTGTATATTTTCGCAATAACTATACTGCGTTTTGACATGCAAATAAGGAAAGAAGATTATTGCACAACCTGTAACTTGTTGCAAGTTGAATACAAGGTAGAAATGAAGAACAACGACGAGCCGCGATCGATGGCT